GTGTGGCTGGTTGCACACTCACCTTGTACAAGTTATATGTAATGCATTAACTAAAAACACAAATAAAGGCAGTAGCCCTGTAGCATCAACCTTAATAAATAAATTAAAAAAAAAAAAAAAAAAAAAAAAAAAAATATATATATATATATATATATATTATTTTTTGCTTTTCATTTAAAGTTTGAAAATCTACTAAGCAAGTTGTTAAGCTTCAAAATTTAAAGCGCTTTCATTATGAACTTGCTGAAGAAAAGTAGTTACATTTGCAAGGTCAAGATCTGGATGCCATTGTCTTATGTCATCAATCCAATCATAGTTTTTATCAATTTCGCATGAACCTAAATCTGAATACTTATTGATAAATATGTTTGGGCCTATTTTCGCTAATAATATCTATTCAGACCATATTTCTATCTCATATTCATTATCTGCTTAATTACCTTCCTTATCAATAGGTTCATCTTCTATATTATCTACAAGAGAATTGAGCAAATCAACAGAATCATTTTTAATCTCTTCATTATAATGTTCGAAGAGATATGACCAAGAAACAGAGTAATTCATAGTCAGTTGCTCAAGGCTTCTGTGACAAACATGCAGTAAAACTTTTAAATAACAAAATTCATCTCACTGAGGACCATTATGCTGGGGTGATAGTTTGGGCCAGATGCGTATAATGTTTTCACGCTTACATGATTTTTAGTGATTATTTGAAAATTTATATTTTAGGTAAAGCTAGAAAAGTAAAAGATTGTCAAGCTCATTAGGCCAATTTCAATATTTTTGTAAAGAAGATTGAGCAGTTTTTTCAGTTTCATCAATTGTTGCAAACTCATTATTGTCACCAAAGCCACAAAGCAGTTACAGAGCATCTTTATTAAGATTTAGAGAAATGAACTAATAATTAGAATAGTAGAGTAGAATGCTAAACAGTAAATAGCAAGTTTCTTGTGCAGATATATTATGCTCTGCAACTGTGTGAAGTAATAATTTTTGAAATAAGCTAAGAGATAAATTATCAGGTTGGCTGTTCGAAAGAATGTGACTAAATATCTCCTTCAGCTCTTGGCTCAGATTTATTTGCATATTTAGAAATGTACTGAAGAGTGGCATGGATGGTAAGAATGGTTTCAAATCAATATTCACATACCAACCTTGAAGTTGAAGCCAATCATGTAGATTTATATAAGGATCATTTCTTGCAATAATGAGCTTTGGATAACCATGCTCATCATCACATATAAAGGTATGTTTTATGGTTTCTTTCAGAAACCCAAACCTATAATATTGATTGCTATCTCGATTGATATGGAGACAGTAAGAAAGGCTATATCTTGTATAATGCTGCAGTTTGTTAATTAGCTCAATATAATCTTGCAGGTCATTATGCAATTCCTCACGAGGCTTTTGGCAAGTTACTTTTCAGATATTAATATTTGTATTAATTGTAGTAACTAGAGAATTTAAATATTGAATAACTCTATCTATTAACTCATTATCTTCTTTTATTTTCTCCCATTCGATTATTGGTACATCTTTTCATTTTCTAATACCATGTATATGAATGCTGCCATGATGTTGCTATTCGAATCTATACCACCAATCTTCCAAATTCTACTTTGAAATTAAAATTTCTTTCAAGAATAATTTGAAATGATTCTCAAAAAACCATGTAGCAATATGGGATTATTGATTAGATTGTAGTGCTGATACTTTGCTGCATCTTGTTCTGATCCTTGTGACTCTCCTATTCGATTTTTATTATATGGCATAAGCTTACAAGTCAATGTAAAAAAAACTATTTCTTATATTCTTAACTGTTAATCATATCTGATAATTCTACTTGCCGCTTAATCCAAACTTGCTTAGTCCTGCACAAACTCTCACTATACTATATAATTTGATCAGTCAGATGACTATTTTTGATATTCATCTCTTGAACTTCTTCAACAGTAAGTTGTTTATCACCTAAACCCTGTTTTACATAAACTCTCTCTTCCTGCAAGGCTCTCTATCTCATTTGCAAATTCAACACAAAGTATCACCAACGAGTATGATGTGCAAACCTGCTATCTTTGTATTTGAGCATATATTAAAAATATTCTATAGGTTTAAAATCTCTTACTCTTTCCGATCAAAGTCAGCATTTCTATAGGGATACAATATCAGGAAGGCTTATGTAATATACCTAGAAGTATGAAATTCATTAACAGGATTGTCTTCAATATTTGGCTATGCAATAGATGTAGCTTTGTCCTATATTCAAACAAGAATATCATTAATGGCGATATTTTTCTGATTTAATTGTATCCTCTACTTCATTTGTATTATCTTCTATGTGCTCATTTTCACTATCATCATCATTAGCACTTTGAACCTGTGAAAGGCACCAGCCCTTTTTTGTAGGCATCCATGTACCTCCAAGACTTACGAAAGAACTTACGAATTGTTGTTACGGGAACATCATTAAGAAGTCTTGAAAGCTGCTGTTATAAGTCTTTATAGTTATAATTACATGTTCGTCTGGTTTCTTTTTTCACAAAACCCCAATAACGTTCTATAAAATTACATTCGCAGTAAAATTTAGGGTATCTCTCAAAAATATGCCCTGCGTTAATGACTGCCTCCTCTAACATTGGCAGTTGTTCACAAAAGTCGGGTTGTTGTGACAAAATTCATCGTGCACAGTAGCCTGATCTTTCTAAATCATTATCATTTTTTCCAGAACATTGTTCGCATATTAAGCGAACTCCATTTATTGGCCATAATTTACATTCTTCTAATATTTGTTTAATTCTTTTCTGTTTTCCCTTAGCTTCTCTACTTGGTAATCATTCGGAAATACCATTGATTAGTCACATCTTTCACCACTTTTGTTAATGAACCAACCATTGCACATTATAGATTGTGCTCCTCCAGTGTCTAGATTCATCCTTGTTGCAATCAACGCATTCGGTGATATTGCATAATAATTTGTTGATTGGTCAAAACAAAATATGCCAATACAGCCTGGATGCAATATCTCAAATATTGGAATCGCCCTATGTATAGAAATGGTAAAAAACAAGTTAACTCTTTTTTTTTTTTTACTGATTTAAACAGGTGATAATTAATATACAGATTACATAATTATCGCCTGTTTTTAATTAACAAAAAATATTTGATGTCTATCTATAGGGTGGTAAAAAAAAAAAAACACAGAATAAAATATTTTTTCACTGATTTAAAACAGGTGATGACTAATATACAGATCATATAACCACCACCTGTTTTTAATTATGTAATAAAATATTTGACGCCCTATGCATAGTGATAGTCAAAAAACAACAGGTTAATCTTTTTTTTTTTTTATCGATTTAAACAAGTGGTAATTAACTAATATACAAATCATATAATCATTGTAATTATGTAATTAAAAACATTACCATTCTTATCTATGCATAAGTTGTTTCAACATATGTTCTGACTTCCAATATCCATCTGATTGTACGGAACAAAAAATAAGTGCCTCTTTGTATTTGATATGTGGATTTGCCCGTAACTGTTCGTTAGACAACTGTAATAGTCTATGACATGGACAAAGAAAAGCTGAAACTATAATAGATCGTCCTATATCTTTTGGATGCAGAATATCCTCATCTTTCATAGTCCATACTTTTCTTTGTCCATCATTTGCGTAGAAGTGACACTCATCATATATCACTTGTACAAATTGTTTTTCTCCAGGTTTGAGCTTAGGCTCTACTGTAATTTCCATTGAATTGCTATCAAAATACACTATGTATTCTTTATATTCAAACATTCTTTCTAACCATTTTTCTCTATATTCTACAACATCAGGTCACTCATGCCTATCGTAATAGACCTCTTTTCTTCTTTTATCATAATAATACCTCACAAACGTATATAGTTTCTGCATGTTTTCTCTGATACAGTGCCTTGTTCAATATATTTCTCTTCGATATATGCCTTTAGAAATTGGGGGAAACGTGTTTCAGGTTTTTGCTAACATAGCCATGCACAACAATTTTCAGAGACATCTTCATCATCAAGAAACCCTCTCCATTTTGTATGTTTGCCTTGACGTAGTGATGCAAATTGGATGAAATTGAATTCGAATTACTAGATTGGTTGGTTAGTTGGCAACTAATTGATTGAACTTTTTAGACAACAACTAATCGATTAATTGATTAATTAGTTAATCAATTAGTTGCAACTAATCGATTAAAGAATTAATTGATTAGTTGCAAAGAATCGATTGAAAAATTATTTATTTACTTAATGAATTAATTGCAACTAATCGATTAATTGATTAATTGCCAGTTGCAACTAATTGACTAATCGATTAATCAATCAGTTGCACCTAATCGATTAGTTGCAACCAACTGAAAAAAAATTAACCAACTAATCGATTGAAAAAATTTTGGCAATTTGTAACACTACCTTGACGATCAAGAGGAAGTTCCCCTGTATATATAAAATGATCACCCCAATTTCGAATACATCTTGAAATATAATCACCTTTGTTCCATACTGATTCAGCAACCTGTCTACTAGCATCTATCTTACCTTTCCCGTCTAGCGTAATTTTATAAATTTACCTATACTTACTAGATACAAATAATCATATGTAGGTATATTTAGTTTAGACGATTTTGTGAATGAGCAACATCTATTGACTTCTTCAAGACATGTTTGAAGGCTCGTTATAGTTTTGGTGGGTGCTATTGGGGTTTGTATTTGTGTTATAGGATTAAGAGGTGTTGGGTGTGTAATGATATTGATAGATATGGTTGGGTCTTGTATAAGTTGTATAAGTGTTGGTTGTGTTATGGTATTGACATATAAGGTTGGATTTTGTACAGTAATTAGAGACTTTTGTGTCATTATATTGAGATATGTTTGAGTTAGTAAACTATCAAATTTTTCTTTTTTTAATAACATTTCGTTATTTATTTATTTTTCAAGAGCTTTTTTTTTTTCCCTCCTCCAGATTGTTGTTTTCGAATTTTTGGCATACTTTCATCTTTTGTTGCTCAGCTCAGATTCGTATAACTGATCGTTTTGTATATCGGTTGCTACTTCTTGCTCATTAAATCCTTCCATATCAAATTATTTTTCCTGTTCCTCTTTTACATCAGTCGTCGCTTCTTGTACATCGACTCCTTTTTTCTATTACTCTCCTATATTACTCGCTGCTTCTCGTAGATTAGTAGATATATTTTTTTGAGAGATAAAACGACTTTTTTCTCTAAGTAAATTACATGCCTCTCTTTTTCTTTTTTTGTAGAGTGAAATTGCGATCAAAAAAGTTTTCAAAAATTACTTAGACAAACAATTTGTAGTGATACGCTATGGTTTAATTTTTATTTTATTTTTATTTATTTTGTTTTTTAATTTTTTACTTTTTT